CCCAAACCAAACCAAACTCACTGCCATCAAGTCGGATCCGACTCAGAGCAACCCCTCTTTGGGTTTCCAAGGCATTATCACTACGGAAGTAGATTACCCAACCTACCTTCCGAGGAGTGGCCAGTGGGTTTGAACGACCCCCAGCCTTCTGGTTACCAGTCAAATGCCTTAGGTGCTACACCACCAGAGCTCCTGTTCTCAATTCTGGCTATTCGTAAGAATCACCTGGGCACTTTAAAAATATTGGTGTCTGACAAAAACTAACCCCAGGTGGATCAAACCCTTAAATGTGAAACCTAAAACTATAAAGTTTCTCAAGAAAAAACTAGGGGCAAATTTAGGGGCCCTAATATATGGCATAGGGAGCTCTGGTAGCATAGTGGCTAAGGCACTTGACTGCTAACCAGAAAGCTGGCAGTTCAAATCCACCAGCCACTACTCGGAAGGAAGATGGGGCAATCTACTTCCGTAGTGATATTGCCTCGGAAACCCAAGGAAGGGTTGCTATGGGTCGGGTCTGACTCAATGGCACATAACAACAACAACAACAACAACAATATATGGCATAAATAGACTAGCAAGCATAACCCAAAACGCACAAACAGCAGAAGAGAAACTAGATGAATGGGACCATCTAAACATTAAATTTTTATGAGCTTCCAAAGACTGTTTCTCCAAAAGAGTCAAAAGAGAACCTGCAAATTGGTAAAAAATATTCTTCAATGACATATCTGACAAGGGACTTATCTCTAGAATTTATAGAAAACTCCAACACTCAACAACAAAAAGACAAATAATCCAATTAAAAAATGGGCAGAAGACATGAATAGACTTTTCACCAAAGAAGATATTCAGGCAGCCAACAAACATATGAAGAAATGTTCACAATCATTAGCCATTAGAGAGATGCAAATGAAAACGAGATACCATCTCACCCCGGCACTAGTAGCAAAGTTCAACAAGACAGAAAATAACAAATGCTGGCAAGGATGTAGAGAGATTGGGACTCTCATATGCTGCTGGTTTGGCTGTAAAATGGTACAACCATTGTGGAAAACAGTATGGCGATTTCTTAAAAAGTTGGAATTAGAAATACTATCTGACCCAGCCATTCCATTACTAGGTATATATCCTACAGAAGTGAGAGCCAGGACAAGAACAGATACATGCACACCCATGCTCATCACAGCACTATTTACAATAACTAAAAGATGGAAACCACCTAGGTGTCCATCAACTGAAGAATGGATAACCAAACTATGGTGCATACATGCAATGGAATACTATGCAACCCTAAAGAATAATGTAGAATCTACAAAACACTGCATAACATGGATGAACTCAGAGGACGTTATGCTGAGTGAAGTAAGTCAATCACAGGAGACAAAAATTGTATTAGTCCATTATTGTAAAACAGCCAAGGAAAGGTTTATATATGGAAGGAAATTTTCTTTGTTGGTTACCAGTGGTGGGAGGGGAGGGGAAGGAACACTGTTAGACAGGTAGACATAAGGATTGATTTGGGTGAAGAGAAGGGCAATGTACCAAATGTGAGTGATCAACACGGTGCCATTGAGGAAGAGGAAGGCATAGAGAGGTGCATAGGAGGTACAGACAACAAAGATGAATCCTTTTGCACATATAGTACTGCGTTGTCAATGAAGGCAAACATGGATATTCGGGTGGACAGACGGGTGGACGGCTGAACTATTAGGTATGTCTATGCAAGGAGGAGTGTGCCCAAGACCATGTATAGGGTTGGCAATGTTTCTACAAGTGTATTAGTATGTCCTGTAAGAATTCCCAGGTATATAGTAGAGCTGACAAGGGACAGGTTGTAGTCACTTCTTGGGCACAGCCAGCTACCCAGAGGGAGCGAGTAGTTGAACCTGTGGGCTCAGGACCATAGTCGCAGGGGCCATCAAGCTCAATTGGCATAATATACTACACAAAACATCATTCCACGTCTTACTTTGGTGGGTAGCAACTGGGGCCTTAAAAGCTTGCAAGCAGCCATCTAGATGCAACGATGGGTTAGTCTCTCCTCGTCCAGAGCAAAGAAGAATGAGGAAAACCAAAGATTCATGGAAACAATTAGTCCAAGCACCTGGTACACCATGTCACTATCAGCCTATACAATTATGAAACCAGAAG